GCACCTCTGCCCGGTGTCCCGAGGGGCGGCGGCCGCGCCGGGCGGGCCCGGGCGCTGCGCGGGGCGGCGGCAGGAGGCAGGAGCTGGGCAGGGCTCGGGTTTGTCCCCGGGGAAAGGCGGGTGCGACCCCGGAGCCGGGAAGCTCCGCGGGGAGGCGGAACCCGGCGGGGCCGYGCGGGAGGCGTCGGGGCCTTCGGTCGCTTCGTCCTCCTGTTCGCGCGAGTTGTTGGTTTGTGCGTGGGGTGGGCRCTGCGTTGTGCTCCCACCCGACGCTCCCTGGCAGCCTCGGGAATAAATCCCTGTCAGAGGAATAAACACGCCTCTCCGGTGGGGATCTGGAAGCATCAGCCTTGGGGCAGTCTCTCTCTTTACATTTTGGATACTTCCTATAAAACAAAATCTGAGTTGAAGAAAAGACTCAGATTGCCCCAGACTTGGTGTAATGCTCCCGCTCGGGATGCAGGACAACCTAAATTTTGTGGGGAGACGGAATGGAGAGCGTGCCTGCGGCAGCAGCTGGCTGCCAAACCTTGCCAGGGAATTTTAGAAGTGTCTCTGCCCACTGGTGATGGTGCGAGCGGAGGATGCTGTTCAAAGCAAGCTAGAATTGCTGTGATGCTCGTAATATTCTTGGGTTGTGTTTGCAAGCAGTTTGGGTCGGTGCCCTGCATTGCTTGCTAGGGAATAGCCAAATGTTTACACTTCTATAAAGGTCTAGTTCTATAAAAGTGCTAAGMAAAAGTTTTTTGTAGGGTAATGTGACACTGAAGTCAAAATGTAGGATATATGAGAGTTATTTAGTGTACCTAAAAGTACACTAGTTAAATGTCTCAAAACTAGAATTTATAAAAGGGACTGGAAACCAGGACGTTGAGAGAATATCACAAGTTTATTATTTATTTTAAATTTCAGTATTATTTTCRATAAGATCATTGAGTTAATTTACTGAGTTAATTTTGAACTATGTTTGTTCAAAGTAGTATATTTAGCCACTGTGTTACTCACTGTGGAGAAGGGCTAAATCACAACTGCCTATTACCCTTAAAAAGAGCAGCTCCTCTAGTTGGTGCTGTATGGCCTTGATTATTTCTGTTTGTTAGTTAATATTATTTAAGTCTGAAGAAGTGGTTTAGTGTTTTATTATATTGTCTCTTCCAAGTGTGTATATCATTTGTTCACAGCTGCTTACAGAGATTTGATTAACTCTTTTAAACAAAACTGTAATTATTTTCAGATAGATTAGAAATATATAAGATGTAACTGCCACTGGGGTTTGGAAGTGTTCTTTGGAATATGAAAAAAAATTAAACCATTAACTTAGTTTAAATAATTAAGAAAGAAATGGAACCTTAAGGAAAAAAAATAAATAGAAGAAAATGGAACTGATAAGACTCTAGACTGGTGTTTCCAGTTTCTCGCTGCTGCTGCTCCAGGTTTTTTTTTTTTTTTTTTTTTTTTTTTTTTCTTCCCCCTAATCTACATATTTTCCCTTCACTACCCCTTTTCGCTAATTCTTTTTCCCCCTTTTGATTTTTTTTTTTTTTTTTTCTTTCTCCCCCCTCCCAGTAGTTTTAGCGCGGGGTCCGTTTGACCATGGGCAGTGCAGCAGCTCAGCGGGAAGAAATCGAAAAATCAGAACTGAGTAGTAAGAACATATGAGAACAAATTAAGAGGCTTTTGCTCATTTCTTTTTAAGATAAAACCATTCCTTCTATATAAACTTCTTTTTAACTTGTTTTTTGTTTAGTAATTACAGGGGAGTCTTTAACATGTTAATGTGTCCAAAATACTCAGGTTTCTTTTGATGCAATATGTGCTTTAAGAATGTAGTACTATGATGACACAAGATCTATTAAAGCTAATTTAGCAAATTCAAATCTAGTTTCCCTGAAGTTAGGACTTATCAAAATAGATGACTATAGGCAGAAAGTATTTGATCAAGAATATAGTATCATACTGTTCATAATATGGAAAAAAAAAWTAAGGCTCTGATGGTTTTCTGAGAAAAACCCTCTGAGAAATATGATGGTATGTTATTCTTACAATTTACTTCATACAGATGTCTCACTTTACAAGTGAAGATGAAGCTCTGTTACAGTCTATGCTCAGACAGTTGCTGCAGAGTGTGAAGGAGAAAATCACGGGAGCCCCGTCAGTAGAATGTGCGGAAGAGATTCTCCTGCATTTGGAGGAGACCGATGAAAATTTTCACAAGTAAAAATTTTTTTGCTCCTTTTAGCASCTTTAAAGAGGTGGAATGTATTTAACTCTTTATGGTAAATTATTACAATTTGTATTGACATATGTAAATGCATATGTATTTTCATATGTAGTTTCCTGTGGCTAATCAACTCTAGAAAGATKTTAATATAGAGGATAAAGTGAATTCAGCTATTTTTTTCTTTTTTTTTTCTCTTGATAATATGTTATTTAGACTGTAATGGTAATTGAGGAACTGCTTGTGGCAAAGGAACACAAAAAACTAGCTCACTTGACCAGCTATTAGTGGACTAAGATGCACRGGTAAACAGAAGTCAGAAAAAATCCTAACAAGAAAGGTAGTATTTTTAACACCTTACAGGTGATATAGCTTTGCTTATTCAAATAAGGTAGATTTTTCAAAAGACTGTTTGGCTGCAGTCTCTAATAGTTCTCTGTGTCTGATATTATCCCATCCTTCTATATCTTATCAGATAGTTATTCTAATGCACATTCTGAATAAAGCAGAAATATAGCCCCTTCACTTCTTTTGTTATTTGTTTGTTTGTGTTATATCAAGCTTGGCAGTGTAATTTCAGTGGCATGCTATCTGGAATTTCTTGAGCCAACAGTCCTATTTCCTGTCCRTATTAGTCAAATTTATTCTTAAATTACAAGATAAGTTAGTTAGTTTTACTAAAAGTTTATAGTTTTTGATTTTGTTTTGTTTTGACTTTTTTTTTTGACAAATCTGAGATATGCCAGGAGAATAACAGGGTTAGATAACCTTAAAGACATTTTAATTAGAACTTGAATGTTGTGATTGGACTTCTGGAAAAAGCTAGAYATATACCACTTATTTCAGAAGAGTGGCATTAGCTACATTCTCTTAAATTTGTCTAGTCTTGGGCATAGTTCTATTAGTGGTGAAATCTAGGTAAAAGTGAGTGAGTGCAATGGTGAAATTTTACATAAACCCTACTTGGGTCTTTTTAATTATCATGTATTTGCATCCTCTTGAGGTGCTATATGCTTTAGATTTTAGCTGATATGTGTTTTATATTGCAGCAGATAGTGCTATTAATGTGTTGGTGATCATTCAGAATTTGAACACTGGGTCATTGGGTAATAAACATGAGAGTAAAATAGATTGATTGAAAACACACTGATATTAAAATATGGATTTTTTTTTTTTTTTAAGCAACATTATCATTTAGGTGAAGACACAGTAAAAAAGAGAAACTCAACAGAATAAAAAATAGATCTGTCAGCATGTCTCCTGAGCAGCTGCTATAAAAATAATGAATTTGAGGGCTACCTGTTTCCACAACTGTGTAAAAGATTCTCTATTTAGAAGAGTGAAACACTATTGTGTCTAGTATATTACAGGATCAGGGATTTTGAGGTTATTTAGTTTTCACATATGTATATGTTTTTAACATATGTATAAATATAAGTAAAAATACAGTAATGCTGGATTCAAGTACTGAATGGGAACATTGTAGGCACTTATGTTACAGTAAGAGACCTATGAGAAAAAATAACTACATTAATAGAAAACTGAAAATGTTTGAAGGTGAGCTCAAAGAAATATGTTACATTTTAATTTGGAGTATTTTTTGCAGTTATGAATTCGTGAAATACCTTAGACAATATATAAATAATACTCTGGGATCTATGGTTGAAGAAGAAACAGAAAAATGTACTTCTGCTCAAAATCAGGGTGAAGTATCTGGCTATGATACTCTTGTCCAGCATGTTACTAAGAAGACCCGTGAATCCAAGGAGTAAGTATATACATATAATTCATAAGTTTGCTTCATTTTGGTCTTTGTATTYGCTTTTCTTCTCTAGTACTTTGAAAATACAAATTATCAACTATAAAGGTTACAAAAGTGATCTTTCTTTTTCCTAATATGAGTGCTAAACATTTTAGATTTTCCATTTTTTTTAGAGTGCAATTTGTTGTATTTTATCTTACACTGGAAATAAGAGTATGAACTACTGCATAAAAGTYTTGGTAGCAAATCTGTCAAGATAGTGAGACACCTGTGACTGGAGTTGGACAGGTACAATTTGAGAGAGAGGAGACGCTGCTTGATAGTACTTCACTAGCTGTGTGTTAAATTCATCTGCGTTGTGTTGGTTGGCCTAAAGGATATTTTTCTTCTCAAGATTTTTTTTCTGGTGGAAATGATAGGATGTATAAAGATATTTAAGTAGAAAAATGCTTTATGAAATTTGACTCCTTAGTGAAGTATTCTTTATTTCTTAATAGTGTAGTCACTTATGTTAAGAAAATAGTTCAAAATTGGCGATACTTGCCTTTTATTTTCAAATTTAAAATGGATATTAATATGACTGTTTTTTGAATTATGCTCTTTATATCTTGATAGTAGATAGTACTGGTAGACAGTACTAGTCTAGTACTAGTTTAGTTCAGTTTACTGGAACTTCTACTATCTACTATAGTACTACTAGTAGTAGATAGTAGTACTACTAGTAGAAAGTAGATAGTAGAAAGTAGATAGTAGAAAGTAGATAGTAGAAAGTAGAAGTTCCAGTAAACTGAATATGTTTCTCTGTCTTATATCTTTAATTGGAGTTGAAGGAGAATGTTAAAGCACAATACAATAACTCCTATGATCTTTGGTGACTGCAAAATAAATAATAATAGTCTTAAGAAAATAATAATAAAAAAATCAAATAAAACCAAAGTCTCTTTTTTTATCTCTGAGGCAGCAGTTATTTTGAATTGTTTTGAATTGTTTCCATGTGGAAATTATTGTTCAGTCAATTTAATTGAAAACGAAATCCTAGTTTTCCTGAAAATAAATTGTTTCGTATGCATGAGCTGCACTTCGAATCTTCAATTTGAACGTTGTATTCTCTTGCTTTGGTTTTGCTCAGGGCTTATATCAGAAGAAAAAGTGCATGTTGAGCATGAAGAAGTGGAAACAGTAGCAATTATCAGAGCTGATCTTTTACTTTCTTAGGGGCAGATTCTCCCTTTAGGTGGGTTCATATTGTTCAAGAACCTCTAAATATGGATTRTGTTAGGCATGGTTTCATTGGGTAGTTTTAGAAAGTTATAAAGGAATCTTACTACAATTTTAAAATACAGTTACTTAAAATATATAAAATATATACCTGTTTTTGTTGCTAATTTTTGTGTGTTTGTTTTTCATTACTTCCTGTTCAATCAATGACTCCTACGTAGCATTTTACCATATTCAGTTATTCAGGATTTTATGTGTAATATTTTTTTAATGCTTACTGATACTATCATCCTTCCTTTGAAGGTACAGAGAAATGATGCTTGCTTTGAAGAATGTCATGATGGTTGTGGTAGAATCTTTGATTAATAAGTTTGAAGAAGATCGGATGCGTAATAAGGAGCTGGATAGTAAAACTAAGAGAGAAAGTCAAAGTGGCCACTATACAGACAACTGCTCTGACAGTGACTCCTCATTCAACCAAGTACAATATGTTTTCTCTGTTATAAAATAAGCATGAAACTGAAAAATTGTTAAGTTCCTGTGTAGTCTGTGGAGTTTGAGAGGCAGCCCGAAAAAGTGATTCATCCTCCCTTTGATATCTGTCCTATAATGAATGGATTGCTATTCTTCCACTCTTGAGTACTGAGCTTATACTAGACAGTGCAYGCTGCATAGAAGAATCCTGCCCCTGTCTTCTTGAGTACCTGTTCAACTCTACACATAGAAGAGGACAAAATAATGAGGAAAAACAATCACTTTTTTTTTGTGATTTTACTGTAGGAGCTAAGTAATGTGCAGTTCATTTCCAGACTACTGCACTGTACTATGTTACTTACCGAATAAGTTATTTATTATATTTCATAAAAATAGAGTAAACATCTAAATAAAATATAAGCAAATTATRTAAGAGAACTCTGTTGCAGTAAACTTAACTTTGGCCAAACAGAAAACATTTAGAATGTTTTCATCATTAGGTGATTTTAATGTTAAATTAGGATAAATGTTAAAATACTAGTTAATAAAAATAAATAAGATACTCAGAAGACTGATGTTTTTAATCTTTTGCTGTTCACTTTAATAAGATAAACTAATCATAATTTTAAATGTGTATTACAGAGTTATATGTTCATGAATCAGGAACAATTGCAGCTGCTTGCAGAAAGGCTTGACCCTATTCAGCCAAAGGAGGTAAGTTTAAAGGAAGAAATAAAAACTTGCTAATACAAACAAATATTTATAGTTTGTTGGAAAACAGAGTGCATGTACATAACGGTTGTGTGCTTATGTGTGTAAGTGAAAGCTTGTCCCTGTTGGTTTGTGTGGAAGTCTTGACTTCAGTGCAGTATTTCCTTATTCATGTCTGTCTTAAAAGCTGTTGTTGGGAGAATATTTTTTTTATGAAGTGATCATATACTATAGATGACCATTCTTTAATTTGGAAAAGATTGTATGAAAACCAAAATCTGTGAACCTCAGTTTCCTGTGTCCATGCCCTTTGCCCCTCTTGATAATTTCATGTTGTCCTTTGTGATACCATTATCAGCAAAGCGATAGGCTGCCTGTTTTGCCAGCCAGCTGCTGCCAAATGGAGTATAGAGTGTCCAAGTTTGTCTTTCTGGCAGTTCTAATAGGCTCTTTGACTACTACTCAGCTGCTGATAATTCTGAAGCTTACAGAAACATCCTTATTTCTGAGAAATTGTCTCTCTCTTGGTAGGAGTTGCTTGCAGTAATTATTTTGAGAGCTTTCTCTCTTAGTAAGATTTGTTTACAATTGCCCAGGAATCGAAGAAGTCATGGCAGTTACAAATCTGATGCTATTAAATACTGCTTAACTCCCTTCAATTGATTTCAATAATATGAAGTAAATGAAAAGAGACTACATTTGTATGTAAATAGCACAAACCCACATATTTGAAGTTATTTAGGTTATAAAGCTGATGAAAATTCAATTGTACACCATGAAAAATGTCTGGTAACTCATTTTTCCCCCTTTTCCCTACTGACTTTTTACAGAACTGCTAAACTCAGTTGTAAAATATCRAGCAGATTTCGAGCAGAATATAAACAGAAATAAACATAATCTTTCCATGCAGTATTGAAGACCTTATTGGAAAAAAAAATGGTTTAATTGCTTCTTAAGATGTATGCTTTTTGTTCTCACTGATGTAGTGTCTTATCCAAATCACTGTAAGAGAGAGATAAAACAGAATCACAGACTCCCAGAATGCTTCAGGTTGGAAGGGACCTCCAGGGATCATTTAGTCCAACCCCTCTACTCCAGCAGGGTCACCCAGAGCATGTGGCACAGGGTGGGAAAATCTCCGGAGAAGGAGACTCCACAACCTCCCTGGGCAGCCTGTTCCAGGGCTCTGTCACCCTCACGGGAAAGAAGTTCTTCCTCCCATACAGAGGGAAGTTCCTGTGTGATCCACGTTCCAAGATTCCTGTGATGATTCCTATGTGATTCCTGTGTTCCAAGATTAAATATCTCGAAACTTCTTATCTGTTCTACAGCCAAGACTTGTTCCGTTCTTCTTCCAAATGATAATTCAAGTTGCTTATCTGAGAGGTTGTTGTTGACAGATTCRTGTTGTGTTTATCCCGCTGACCGCTTCAGGTGCGCCAGGAAGCGCTGCAGACACTGTGCTCTGCTCCTCCCTCTGACATCCTGAACTCCGAGAGTTGGCCCAAGCTGCGTAAGCATCTAACGACGTCCCTGTCAGATCCCGATGCAGCCTACAGCGTAAGCYGATGCTCTGTGTTCAGTAATCAGATGTTTAGCTAGAATAGAGAGTGCTGAAGATGAATAAAGCGTTACATGTATATTGCGGGTAGTCCAGCAGTTTCTTAAGGTATTTGTCGTTACTTGTGCACATAATCTGATAAACTAGTTCTGGAAGAAAGAACTGTCACTTCCAATAGGGCTTGATTTAGAGATGGCATCAACAGGACTTTAGAGACACATGTACTCCTTTACATGCTTTTAATGGGGAATGAAGAGGTATAAAGTAAAATGAAAAATATATATATTTATTAACAAATTGTTCTGTAAAACATTTCATGTTAATATTTCCTATTTAAGTCAGGTATGTGCTTCATAGCAGTGGGAAAAGGGTGCTAATAGTGATGCACAGATACCAATTAGGGGAAAATTATGGCAGCCTTCCAAACTGCTTATAACTGTTTGTGACTATTTAAACTGCTTATTTACTTTATTTTATGAATTAGACCTTTCTTTTCACTTAAAATTCTAAAGTACTTCTCAAATGATTATAAAAGTTATCCCAGCTGTTCTCATGTACTTCTGTTTTGCAGTTCAGTAGGTTTGCCACCAATTTCACAATAATGATAGTTTATAAGTCACTGGTGTATTTAATAACATAAAAAGTACTATTAATCAAGAAGTACAGTAATATTTGTGACCTTCTGCTTTGCAGATCAGTGAGGCTTTGCATTGRTGCCATCAGTAGTATTTAAGTAAAATTTCTTTGGGACTACACATTTCTATGGCCCCAAATGGTACATTTTTATAAAATATGCTTCACATCAGTAAAGCTGCCTGAGCAATATATAACATGAAAAATAACTTCACTATATGTTAGTGATTGTGCAACATACTACACATGCATGTTCATTATGTGTTAGTATAATACATTGCTTGTTGACTCTTTTTCTCTCTTAGGAGAAAATTTTGAGGTTCTATGCCAAAACCTTTTCTTCTTCTCCATTTAATTTGACAAGAGAAGTATATACAAGTTTAGGTATGTGCAGTAAATTACATGTAAGTCTTCGTGATTCATGTATTTCGTGAAAATCGATTACATTTTGCTATATAGCAGTCTAATACAGTCTGTTTTGCCACTGTTGTCCTAGAGTTTGATTGTTTCTTCTTCCTTCTTTAGCAAAGCACTTGGAGTTGTATTTTCTTTCTGAAGAATCTTATCTTCCTTTTTCTGCTGGGCTGGATATATCTAATACAGACATAATCCGTTTACTAAAAAAGGTATAAATGAGCTTTCCGTACCTTACATCATTTTGATGATAAATGAAAAACCCTGTGTTATTTGTCTTATAATTTTACCCCTTGTATTATCAGGTACGCCTTTTAAATGAGTATCAAAAGGAAGCTCCATCTTTCTGGATCCGTCATCCTGAAAAGTATGTCACCTTCAATAAGTGTATTATTGCTTCTAATTTTAGCGATTTTGAGCATGTAATGGATACATGTTATTTTAACAAAAGAATGGTAACAGGGTACACAAACAACTGGTTGTTGGTAAGGAGGAAAATAGAAACGGAATAAAGAATTAAAAAAAAAATAGTTATAGGTCATATTGATTTGGTTATCTTGTATTTTAAAGTATTTTGAATGCATTGTTATAAAAACACCTTAGATCTTTTGCTAAGTAAGAGGTATAATATTTAGCACTTAAAAATATATAGTCATTTTGGAGAATATTAACGTGTTGCGATTAAATTTATTCCGGATATTAATAACCTTTTATGATTAAATTAAAGACAGCATAATTGATGTTCATTTATCTGAACAAGAAGAGATTATCACTAAAATTTTGAGCATTACTGTTGGAAAGTTCTGATTTTTTGTTTTTGTTCTTCTTTTTTTTTCATATTTGTTGAAAGATACATGGAGGAAATAGTGGAGTGTACCTTGTCACTGCTGTCAGTGAAACTTGAGCCTGGTCATCTTGCCTCTCCAGAGCTTCTGGGTCCAGTCTATTTCTTGGCTCTGCTAGATATCAAAGCTGCTTGGTTCAAAAAATGGACGGTGAGGAAAAAAACAACAACTTTTTAATGCCTGACATGTGTCTGGAGTTGATTTTTGAATATTAGTATCACAGATTTATAGTGACCTGATAAAGGTCTGTAATAAACACTGTAGTTAAGAAAGTATGGTTTCTTAGGGATGTATGTCCCCTACTCTTTCTCTGTTTCCCCTTCCCTATCCTACTTTCCCTTTCTGTTCAGGTACCATCTTTAAAATATTTGAGAATTTTATGCTCTTTAAGGTTTAAATCTTCCTTATCRTAGTTGACTGAAGCCCATCAAAAGATGCACCTGGTTCTGTGGAATACATGATGAGCAAGAGAGTCATGAAAGTACAGTTATACATGCTACAATATATGCAACTTTCTAATGCCCATCAGGAATTAAAGCATTCTGTAGTTTACCATGTATTCAGGATTTACACAGTATTATGTAATATTGTAGTCCAAATTTTCAATGTTGCTACTGATTTTTTTTCTTTTCTTTGTTTTACAATATGTTCTACTACACATTACACATGTTTTCCTAACATGTGCAGATTTTTTAATTGTCATCTTACTGTAGTGCAGACAAAACACCTAGCCCAGTGTAACGCTGTTTTATACCTGTTGGACTTTAATTCACTAAGTATGTTGCTGTGCACAGCACAATCTCTAATTAAACAGAACTGGAGATAATTTTAATTTTGTCTTCAAAAGTAAAGCTATTTTTGAAGGTCACACTATTTCTTCTTTGCAATTTTAGCATGCACATTACAGCAGAACAGTGGTGTTTCGACTTTTGGATAAAAAGTATAAATCTTTGGTAAGTCTATAATTATGGTTGTCATATTCTGTCTGGAACTTGTTTTTACTTYATGCATTGTGGTTTGAACTTTTTTCTCCTTTTCTTCCTTTTGAGAGCTGTTCTCTCCTCTTGATCTAGATAATTTTTTCATTATATAAATCAYTGTCAAATGAAAAGAAAGGTATGTGACCTGATTTGAGTAAGGGGAAATTAGTATGACTTATAGCAGGTGTTTATTAGTTATTAAGTCTTTATGTTGTATTCATATTGCATTCATATTTAGAATTATTTCTATAAGTGTTGGAAAAATAGCAAAAGGTACATAAAATTATGATAGAAGCTATATACTGGAATTCAGATTCTTGTTGGAAAGAGCCTCAAAAAACAACATTATCTTTAAGTTGTGATATGAGGCATTACAGATTCAAAGTGACAGCAAAATATATCAGATTAGAAAATGTATGGTAATGTAGAGGGTAATACTATCATATATTCTGTATCGGAAGATCTCTCAGAACGGAAATTTTGTCGAGTTCAGTGAAACTACAGTGAAACTAGTATAGATATTAGGACCAAATTTCTTAAGCAGATTAATAAATGTAAAATGCCTATGCCTATGATATTTCCTTCAGATGAAAAATAAGAACAGGAAACTCTGAGACAGGTGTTTATGATTTGTTTATCTGTATGCATAGAACAGAACATAGAATTGGCATGGTTCATGCAGCAGAAAGTGTATAGAGGGGAAGTCCATTACAGCAAGCTGGCCTAATGTAATTTATGAGCATAGCATAAGTTTACAATTAAATATTTATCTTCAGCTTATTACATGCATCTATTTATTTTACTTCAGCTTTTTCACTATGGACATATTTCAATATATAAACATATCTGAAAAATATCTTAGCAACTGCAAAATATAATAGTGGTAAAATTTTTTTTAGTCATGTACTGTATATATGATTACATTTTAAATCTGTGTAGATAAAAATAATTCTTTATAATTCTTTCATGTACAGTGATAATGATGTGAAACTGATGCATCAGTTTTGCAAAAACAATAATAGTAGTGACAGCCTCCCAAACTCCAAACTTTTTAATGTAGATATATTCTAGACAAAGGTTTTCACATGTAGCTAATGACAGGCTTCCATATTGATAATAATATAGCAACCAAATATAGATTAATTTTTCAAAATACTTGCATGTTTTTTCTCCCCTGTTTCATAGATGGATTATTTTAGTGCTTATAGAACTGAAGTTTCTGATGGTGCACTTTAGTAGCACTGTAAATTTTTACCTTCTTTTGTTTTTTCTCTWCATACAAAGTCCTGAAACATAAGCAGTTGTTGCAGTGATGTAACTATTTAGATTCTTGCATTAAGGGATAATACTTAAACAGAAAAGAAAATAAATTTATTGTAAAGTAACAGACTTTTTTGTCTTTTTTTTTTTTTTTTTGACAGATTAATGCAGCTGTGCGGCAGTGTCTTGAGTACTTTGAGTTTTGCAAGTCAGCTCCTGACAGAACTTCTCGAGCGAGCAGCGTTTCCCAGCAGCGCGGTGGTAAGTGACTTTGCATGTATTGCACTATATGCATGTGCACCTGTGTTCTCAAGGTCTTTGAGTAAGCTATCAAAAGGAAGACAAGCTATCTTGATTTTCACCAGAAGCTTGAGGTAAGTCCTTTGAGAGAGCTGTAATAGCAGTAGTCACTCTGCATGTCTGTATACTCCAAACAATCCACTTATATTGTGGTAGTTGTTCAAGTCGGTGTTCCTTCTTTTTTTTTTTTTTTTTTTTTTTTTTTAATTCTTAAAGGTGGTAAGCCGAAATTTTCTTATACTGGACAAGATTTGCAGCACATCTGTTTTGTGCATTCGCTGTGCCTTTTAGGAAGATCAATCATCTACAAGGAAGGCCAAAATCTTTTCCCAGTACAGCCAAAAAACAGAAAAGGTAAAGGGAGGGCTGAGAAAAATGTAACTAGTTGAGTAACTGTGTATCTATCAATTTTGTGAGTAAACAGAACAACATTCTGTTCAAATATATTTGTCCTAGAAACCTTTACTAAAAGATGGTATAAGTAATCCTAAACATCAGCACTGTTTTTAAAAATCTTCAGTAGTAATCGAAGAATTGTCTTTACTTTCCGTACAAAAATTTCATCTTGAAGGTGAGTTGGATCAATATTTAAACAATTCAGTATTTCTAGATGTTGATAGTATCTTTTGTTAAACCAGTTATTATAATCAGTTAAAAAAGACAGGCATTCAGAATCAAACTTGTTTTTCAGATATGAAACAGAACTAGTATTTTGGGCTAAATACAGTTGGAAAACAATTGTTCTGAGTTTAGTTTACTCATGTGAATGTTAAACTGTTGTGGAGGGAGATTGATTCCTGTGGAGCAGAGGTATTAATAAGGAAGAAGAGATAGTCAAGTCTTCTGAAGCTCAGAAAGCTCTGCATGCATTGCTACACTGTGCAGCATTGGCAAATACARGAGTGTGAGGAAAACAGTAGTGTGGAATTACACTAATGTCTTTATTAGCTCAATATAGTTTGCATAATAGTTCTTTATACTAGTTCTGAGACTTATKTTTGAAGCTATTTTGTACTCTAGTTTGAGGATCAGATCTGCAGAGGTCCCGTATGAAATGGTTGTCTTCTCGGGAAGAAACATCCACTGCTGATTGAGTCTTTTAGTCATTTGCAGATTGGCTCTATGTTCCAATCAAACGGTGATCGATTAATGATGTTTATCTTCTCATTTACAATAGATAATGATCTTACCATCTATCCTCTTAGTAGAGTCCTTTTCAGTTACAGAGATGCCAAACGTTTCCTCACAAATTGCCTATTTTATTAACATAATTACATTAAACTCAGAGAAGTAGTTTCTAATCTGATTTATCAAAATGTCTGTTGAGTTTGTTTCAGGCTGAAGAAGAGTTTAAGTGTTTGGCAGTTTAGTTCTTTTTCAGCTGTTTCRCTTAATCTGATAGAAAGGAATGCTTTTTTCCTCACTATCATATATCCAGCATTCTCAAATTTTGGCTGCCATCAGTTTCAATAGAACACATGATGTGATTGCAGTTGGCTAATTCGGGAGCAAGATCAATCTTTGTAAACTGAGCAGTAAGTAGTCTGGCAAAGTCCCTGGGAGATGCACATCCATTACATTATCAGTTGTATATAATGTTGATATCCTCAGTAAAAGTATTGTGTATGTTTACTTAAAGAATCCATTTTACTAAAGCAGTGTGTTAATTTCCAGATTACATTTTTCTTTCCTATTTTTTATAGATCRTGTATCGTTATCAGATCTATTGGTATTATTTATTCAGCTTATTTATTACTCTCCAAGCTACTCAAAGACAGCTCTGACAGGGCAGACAGGTATATGTTTATTTAATATGTACTAATTTATTAAATAATAATGGGTAATTTTATAACTTCAGTGCTTTATATTTTTTTAATTTGGGATATGATAGCCTATACCTAAGGGGAAGCAAATAATAGTAGTATTTGTGCAAATTCTTACTTTCTACTGCTTTTTCTTTCTGCTTTTAATAGTATTAAATCAGTGCTTAATGAAATTATAGTTCAGAGGTACCTACATAAACTGTACAGATACATTAATATATATGTATGTTAGAAATACAAATAAATACTTCTTGTATTTGCCAGACAATTATTCCCCAGCAAGTCTTGTTGTAGAGATTCTGCAAGTGTTGTCTGACCAGACGGAATGTGCAGCTAAGTGTTTATATACTGATGCTGTGGTTGATGCCCTGCTTCATCCCATTCAAAATTTACTGAGTGGCACAGAGGTTTGTAGTAGTCTTTCAAGTAATATTTAAACCTATATAAAATTATGTTATGTATTTGATGTATAAAAGATGTATATAGTTATGTGATATCACTTTTTTTGTATTCCGCAGGACACTTGAAAACATAGATTAGTTTCTTTCACAAGCGCCTGTCTGCTCTGCTCTTACCTAAATGAAATGTAAATTTTTAAACTTTGCAACTTGCTCAAGTGTTTTCAAAGCATAGAGCGGGTAAACTATGTAATGCTTTGTTAAAAATTAGTCTTGTAAATTATAGGAGAATTTAATGCCTACATCAAAATCTTTATTTCTGCACAGTTCCTGTTCTARGCCCAGATCCTGGGTATGGTTTGTAAATGCAGAATGTGTCCTGTTTGCTCTAAGTAAGCCTCTGCACAAGTGCACATTGATTTGTATCACATCTGGCAAATGAATACTTTCCTGAATACGCAGAAAAGTCAGGATGAACCTCTTCTCCCTTTACAGGAATTGGGAGTCTTTATCTGCTTCCCAGCCAAYCCATTGGCACTTCTTCAATACTCTGAAATCCTGCGACCCCTTGTAGAATGTGATGTTTGTCTCTCTAATGCTCTACTTTGCTTATGTGGTTGTTTGGACTGAAATATAGTGAAGAAATAGCAGTGCTGAAAACTTTAGTTCTCTGGCCATACATCTTTATTGAAGGGAATGCASTGGAGCTGCATGTGGTGGTCTCTCCTTAGCTGCACAGTGGGCCTAATGCGCAAGCCCGGTRCTGTTATTGGGGCTGTAAATCCACTCCCAAGTAGTGCAGGGCTTTTAAGCAGAGTAGTGTTGTTAATCTGTCATGTAGGTGGGTAGAGAAACTTGGCAACTTTGAGCAGGAGTTGTGAGAGTCAGTTAAAAGTGCCCGTGTGCAGCCAAAGTGACTGCAGGGCTGCCTCTGACCCTGATTACAGTCTCTGTGTCTRACCCTAGTTCAGCTTTATGGCGTGACCTTGGACCTCACCTGCATGGGCTTCTCTGGGGTTTTGGACTGTTGGCTGAAGAGTCCACAGTGGGTGGACCAGGGCTGCTTCCTTGCTCGAGTAGTGAGATCCTGCCTGCCTGTTTGGTGGGGAGGCCTCTGCTTCTATCTGCCTTGCAGGGACTCAGCTCCCCTGGTCTGACCTTGCTGCTCCCCAAGGGTCTTTGGGGAGCCCGTGCCCTGCTTGCCCACGTTTGGCATGCCTGGTTTTGCTGTGCTTGGTTCACTTAGTTAGGAGCAGTGGCCAACTTGACGTTCGTTCAGATAGGGTGCTCTGAACTCGCACGTGTGCTGGACAGAGCAGCCCGAGTCGCAGTGATAAATGTTCAGTCCCCGAATCCTCTGTTAAATGTACATGGTCTCGTATGTGCATAAAGACTTCTCAGGGGATAATTGGTTTGCYCCAGTGGGGAACACTTCCCTCCAAGTTGCAAAGCAAATGATTGTTTAGGGCCCACCTAGAAGGAGATATGTTTATGCTGTAACTTTGGGAAACGAGGGAGGAACAAGCAAGAGCAAGGTTAGGAAGAAAGAATATAGGTGAGATGGACAAACACCATCTTGTGAAATTAATTTTCCAATTCTAGCCCAAGGATTACTCAGCAAAATACTCAGAAAAAAAGACAGTTACTTTGTTTCTCACATTGATTAAGACATTGTTTTTACGTCTTTAACAGGCTTATCAGGAGTCTTTTTGCATTGATTGTGGGAGGGAAAAAGGAGTTAAGAAATGTCTCTTTTTCTGTATCTGTGCAGTCTGGTCTTCTGCCATAATCATTAAAAGTGGTAATTATTGCCATTTATGACTAAGATTTGAATGTAATTTGTCTGCTTGCTATGTTGAGCCCTGAAGCAGTCATTGGAAAAATGACTTTCAGGTTCTGTGTACACAGGCAGACTTGAATTAACAGATTTTACAAAAAGCATTGAATTGTAAACTTTTTTTTTCTTTCTTTTGGCTTCCAAACAGATGCATATAAACTGTCTTGAAGCCACCTTAATTCATGTAGCAGATATTTTGACAAGGATTGCTGCRGTAGAAGATGGTCTTTCTTTTCTTCTTTATGGAGGAAATAAAAACTCTGCCAAAGAAGATGTGTAAGAGTACATTAATGAATTACATTAGTCATATAAAGTGAGACCTGCTTTCCCTTTTTCATTTCTTTATAACATACCWTATGTTTTGTTTATGCTTTGGCTAACAGTGTCTGATTATCAGGTAAGATACAAAGTGTTTTAGAGGGTGTRTTATTGAGACGGTTGTGTGACTAATCGAGGAAATGAAACGTTAAGAAACACTTTTTATTAAAGAAGATTTCCATGGCTTATGTGTTACTCGTGAGAGAGAGAGCTTTCCTGTCTCTGAATGTAGTTTTAATGTGGGCCTCTTTTTGTGCATTTTCTTTGAAATAAATATTAAAAATCAACTTTTTTTAAGAATAGATTTACTGTAAAATAGTAGATTACCATTTGGATCAGCAGTTAAGAGGCATACTTTTTAATATACCGGATAGACAGATCTCGTCAGAGGCTGACAAATATGAGCCCATTTGAGTTGTGTCTGTGTAGTCCAATAGGTAGCAGCATATTGTTATATGATACTAAAGAGGGCAGTAAAATTGAGAGTAGTCCTTAAAACGTTGATAAGCCGCAGATCGTGAAGTAGTCTGAAAAGCCACAGCTGCCCGTTATGTGGAATGTGTATGGGGGGAGTAAAGATACTTATTTGCAGAAAGAGGTGTCCTTTGTGTTGCCAACCTTGTAGACTTTAGAAACAGATCTCAGTTAGGGATAAAGAGTAATAAGGGGGCTAGATGGAAGGCAATGGATCCAKTTGTTGTATAGCCAGAGTAAAATCACTTGCTGTAAATTTTTTTGTCTTCTGAGTGGTTTTACAGGGATTAGCATAGTGGGCCTGAGTTTCATGCCATTAGTCTTACAGAAATGTAAATAAGGTCATACAAAGGATTTGTTTCAAGCTTTATTGGTGATTACAAAACAACAATTTTAAGTGTTATTTTATTTCTAGTCCCACAGCTGTTCATGTAATTGTTGAGTTTACAAAGAAACTTCTTCACGATGACATTTCTCTTCTACCTGGATCTGAGCTTCTGCCCATGGTTAAAGGAGCTTTCGTTTTTGTGTGTCGTCAGATGTACAGAACCTGTGAAGGTCTGCAGGTGCTTATTCCTTATGGCTTGCATGAAGCTTTTGCAGAGGCTTGGAAGAAGGTAAATCCCAGTTGGATTTGGGAAGATTACCAAATCTTACTCTTAGAGTTTCAGTTTATGCAACAGCTGTTCTCTGGTTTAGATGGTTTAAGTAGTGAGTTAACAGTGCTTGGAAATTCATTCCCAAGTTCTGTTTTTCAAATCTTCCTTCTGTATGTAAACTTGGCAGGTGCTTAGTTTAAGGTCTGTGTGTTTTAAAGTGAAACCAGGGACTCTGAAGATTTATAGATTGATCTTTCATTTGTAGATTAACATCTTTCTAACCATTGCCCTTATAGAGATTATCTGATATTATAATAACCAGTATCTACCACGGGTCTGCTCTTCGGTCTTTGTTTTGGATATGTGGAAGGAAAAAAGTACTGAGATGGGGTCTTAGCAATTATTAGGATAAGCTAATTATTTTTTGAGGGAATATAGGAGGAAAAAAATAAAATTGAAATATTTGATTTATTTGGTTAGATGCCATTGAAATATTCTTGAGAGAGCTGAAGAATTGTGCAGGCAGCAGTTCTCCCATTTGCCTGCTTGGATATCTTACCAGCGTGTTCTAAGTGTAACTGCAATCTGACCACTAGTCTATTCCTACCTGAAAGAGCTTGAGCCCAGCAGTTCGACTGCACGTTGTGCATACGTTGAACAGTTTAATTCATTAAACTTTACTTTATTGTTCTGGTACAGTGTGAAAATTCTTACCTATAGCCATAACCATATAATTGACATAGAGAATGTTTCTGCAAACAGCAGTTTTCAGTTRAGTTTTCAATGGAGGGAAAAAAAATCAAACGGACATTTCAATCATTAGTATTAGAGAAGGATAGCATATAAAATTTCTGCTTTGAATCTTGCTTAACTGGAGCTATATTTAAAGTACAGGTATTAAAGGTATAATGGAAAGATGAAATAGAATTGTTTGACTAAAAAATGGATCCATCTTTTTTGTTTCCCCTCCAGTGACTGTAAAATATTTGCTTAGAGGCAAAGGATCAGACCAAGCTAGAAAAAAATAATTAAGCAAGGAAAGAAAGAGAGAGAGAGAGAGAGAGAGAGAGAGAGAGAGATTGATTTTCATACAAGGGGAGTAAAATGGAACAATTAGTCTTCCTGTAAATGCTATATGCTTTTTATGATTAGAAATTTTAGAAATGCAAACAATCACAATGTATACTGTGGCAGAAAATATCAGAAATACATAACATGAATAGAAGACAGGCTTAAAATAATCAGCTTGCTGTGGATGTTTCTCAGTATTATCACATTTGAATATTGTTATGAAAGCATACATTTTTAGTTGAAAATAATATATTTTATTACTTAGAATATAAATACATCACAGTAAGCCAAGCTTCAGAGTAGATGATGTGTTTTTGAAACTAAATTTGCAGTAAGAACCGTAGAATTGTGCTGAATTAAGTAACTGAGTTTATTTTAATTGAGTCATATTGTATAGAATCATGCTGACATAAGTCTGTCTCTTTATGCTTTCCTATTGTGTAACTAGTCATTCTTACTTGTTACTCTATTTAATGTTCATCATATGCAGTCTCTCATATGCTTGAGATGGGTATTTCCAGTTAGTTGTTATAAAGCACCATAACGGGTGCTTTGTGCTCATGCACACAAGATTTCTATGAGTATTAAAATGAACCATCATTTAGACAAATTGTTTTGGCACATACAAGGTAAATAGGATAAATATGTAGAATTAAAAAAAAAAATCATCAAACATTTAACTGACAAAATGCCATTTTTTTTTTCATGTTATTTTGGAGGTCAGACTGAGACTAAAGTGCAGACTACCTATACAGGACTTGGAAACACAAAAAATCATTTTCTGTCATTGTCCTGCTTTTAAACAACCATGGTTGTAAAATATTCTGCCATTTATAGTGTAGTTAAAAGACTAGACTTGTATTAAAGAAAAAAAAAAGTTATATGCAAGCGCTACTTACAAGTTTTTAAGACTGGTGGCATATTTCCTTCCATGTTACATGTCTCTTGGAGACTTAATACTAATGGACAATTTTTTCAGATCAGATCCTGGTAAGAATTCTGGGGCAAAAGTTGGCATTATTGCTCAGGTAAAAGGAAGCTTGACAGATCTAGAACCACTAATTACTTTAATAGAGGATTTTTTTCTGGTTAATTGGCTAGCGTGTTTATAACAGTGGAACTTTGCTATGTTCGCTGAAGTTAATATCTGTATTATATGATGTATATTTCATTTGAATGAATAGTGCAATAAGTTTTTCATATTTAAGAACAGTTTTTAAAAGCATTTTAAGAAAAATAATTTGAAAATGTAATTAGCTTTATAATGGTTTATACCTGAGGAAAACGTAAAAAAAAAAATTTCTCTAAATAAAGAATGGAATGGTATATTCCTGCCAAAGGCTAGATTACTAGAACATGGTCACTCCTCTTTTTGGTGTGTGTGTGTGTGTGTGTGTGTGTGCATGTGTATATGCATGTGTGTGTGTGTGTATATATATATATACACACAAACATTTTTAATAACATTTAGGGAAATCTGCCATTTAAAATTATGCAATTGAGCTGTTTTTAATTTTACAGACAAGTTTGCTTTCAGAAAGAATTCCCACTCCTGTACCTGGTGCAAGCTCCCCCTCGTCAATAAGTCAAGAGTCAAAAACCACGTAAGTTCTGCTGTTCAGCTTAGGCGTGTGCGCAAGTGGGAACATGCACTGCTACTCTACTGATGTCTGAGGTGTCTTATAACACTGTGTTTTCTTAGCCTTTTGCCAGAAACGTATTGGTAGGTAGGCAGAACAATGTCATCCTAGTATAGGTCTTCATAGAGTTTAAAAAAAAAACAAAAAAAAACTGACCTTTCAGTACCTTGTTTTCAGAAATTAAAAAAGATCAGTTTCTAGCACAAGTCTTTTTTTTCTCTGACACATATAAAATTAGTTCTAATAATTTCTGCATTTTTATTAGTTTCTCATAGTTTTTTTTTTTTTTTTTTGCATTGGTGATAAAATTTGTGTCTGCTTTGTCAATTTGAAACTTGCATATTAATACATTTAGAAAATGTATTCAGCCTCAAGTAGGAAGTCTTCAATACCCTTAAGGATGATAAAATACTTTTTGTTCCTGAAGGAATTATTTATATATTATGTGCTTCTCTCTCATCTTTGATCCTTAGCTAGTGTGGGTTTGGATGCTTGTACAAAGTAGTCTAATATAATTTGTAACTTTCTCAATTACTTCTTTTGCTAATATAAAGTAGGCATAGTCCAGTGAACAGTACACTTTTATTTTTCAAAGCTACAAAGATACAAATTGTGGCGTTTCTGTTTTTTCAAAACTACAAATTGTGGTGTTTCTGTTGCYTTTTTTTTTTTTTTTTTKGAATCTTGTAATGTCTCTYTTTCTACTCTTACAGTTCAGTATCAGAAGAGACTTTGTTAGAAGCCTTACTAGCTTTTTCTGCCACACCGAAAGGACTGTTTCTACTTCAGAGTACAGGGGCCATGAATGACTGTGTGACTTTTATGTTCAACAGTATGTCAAGAAAAAAGCAGGTAAGTGTAACAGAATATGTACATTAGTTCTTTTTTTAATTACTGTAATAAAATAAGAAAGAAAACAATAAGAAGCAAATAAAACCATAAACCGTTTTTATTTAATTTTTGCCAAAAGTAATTTAGTATGTGGCTTATTAATCTTGATACTTGTCATATAGATTTAATTTTGTTGCATGTTGCTCATCTTCAGAATGTCAAGCATATATTTAGCTGTGATAAGTTTGAAATGAGAAGGTTTATTTTTTTCTTGTTGTTTTTCTTCTAAGTTCAAGTTTTTCTAGCCCAGGCAGATTGGTGATAAAAACTAGGTACCAAATGCAGTATTTACAGTGTTAACAGGTTAAAGATGAAGAATTTATATTTTTACATGCAAAAACAGATAATGATAGTTAAGTCTTACTGAATGGTTATACTACATGTCCCAAATAAAATATTTATCATTTCTAATTTGATACTTCCCTTCGTAAAGATGTTTGTTTTGTAATCTGACCATGGCAAATCTTTAGCGTGTGGTTTTTATGCATTGTCCAAATCTAATGCAGATTGATTTCTGTAAACAGAGATTAGTATTTAAGAGTTCCATGCATGATGATATCACTAACACTTGGCTCCTTTTATGTTACTAACAGACAAGTGACTGTGAAGAGTCTGGTAATGGAATGATTGTTAGCCAAATAGCAACAACACCTGCGGGTGCAGTAGCTCTGCAGAGTTCAGGTAATTAGAAGAACTGTTTTATTATGAATAGTTTCTTGCTATAGCCTCCAACATTAGAAAAAGATTTTGAGAATTATGTTAAAAAAAATGAAGTGACTGCAATAGTTGTGTAGTATTAGCAAATGTCTTGATTCCTTCCTGTTAGAAATTCTTTCAAATTCTTAAGTAATCCACTTGTCTTGATGCAGTTATACTTTTTCTTACAGTATATAATATCTTTATTCTATGGTTTGATTTACCAGAAATTTTCTGTAAATGCTTTTATGGCTGTTAAGAGTAAGCTCCTTACAAGTTACAAGTGATAATTTAACCACAGATGAGAATTAGTTAAGTGTTGAATTCTACAAGKGGCGTACCATTTTCCAGGGCTCAAAGACTGCTCAAAGAGTGGGATAGTGCACGGCCCGTAATGTCATTTTTTTTCCGATATACTACTGTAGTGATCTGGAATTGAGTGGCTTTTGTTTTGTTTTGTCTTGTTTTTTGAATTCATATGTGCCAGCCCATGGGAAAAAGTCCCTTCAGATTCGTTCAAACTAACGGTTGTGATAGTATACAAGGGCCTGCGTATTCTGTATGTTAGCAAGAGTCTTACCAATATAAAGCAGGATCTTAAGTTGTTAAAGACACCCATGAGGTACAGAAGTTCTCTCTCAATACCTGTAAATGGTTGATCTGTTATGAAAGTAATTAACTGAAAGACTGCCACRACAGCAGACAACAAATTCTGCTAGTCAAGGAAGCTAAACTGGTTAATTGTTTGTTATTTACGTTTTGGGGATCTTTCTGAAATTAAGAAGTGGATGTACTTGACTAACTCCATCTGTCATGGTTAAAATTCTCAGCCAAGTCACTTCTTGAGGCCTTTGGCATCTGGTGGTAGACCAGAAATAAACAGTGTCAAGTTCAATATTGATTTTTTTTTTTCAGCCTTGAGGGAAGGTTGTGCTGTGTTTGTGAAGTTGTTTACTAACAGTCATTTACATCTGGAGATGTCTGAGTTAGATGTCTGTTTTCCTCCTTCCTTTTTCATTTAATAATTAACATTTTAGATTCAAAGAATAATAATTTTCAGTGCTTTGAAACTTATAGTATGTTTTTATTTATTGGTAAAATTAAGGAAACAATAAATTAATTAAAGTAAATTTTGTAGTATGAAACCATAGGACAAACACTAGAGAAGTGCGGATCTATAGGAGTTAAYGTGTTAAGATTAAAAGCTTGCTTTTGGCGGAAAGTAAAGTTTATATAAATATCATCCTAAACTTAAAAAATATTCTTTGCAAACTGCTGTTAAGCTGAGTATAAGCAGAACACTGTAAAAAGGTAGTTTGACTGAAGAATTGTGCGTAGGGAGAATAAGATGTTTCTTAATGTGATGTTTTTGCCACTCATGACTGGAACAAAAATTTGCTTTAGGCTTTATAAAAGCACTTGTAACTGAAGTATGGTCTCTGCTGGAATGTGGAAAAGACGATGTGAGGATAACTCAACCCAAATCTTTTCCAGTAGATCCTATTGACCAAAGCTGTCAAAAGGTAAGAAGTTACTTGAGGGAGGAGAGAATAATTTAGTAATACTTTTCTGCGCTGGCATAGAATACGATGTTATATTTTCATACCATTCTTATACCTTTCTGAGTTGTTTCTATTGCAACTGTCCTTGTTTCTAGGTATGTGGGACAAAATTGGTGAAGTGTGTCARTCAAATAAGTAGTTATTGAAAGAGTTGTGTTGCGCAGAGGGTCACAATGCCAAGGTTCCAAAGTCAGTATAAAATAATAACTGTGATGAAAGTGAAAGTCTTAAAATACTGTCCATTAGTTCAAATATCTGAATATTGTGGAAAGATCAGTTATCTGGGTGTTTTAAGAATATGCCATGTTCCTCTGAATCTTACAACTACACAATAAATTATTATAGCCTTCAAAAGAATTCTAAATTCCCAGAATTATATTTCATCTGCACCACTGGCAAAAAAACCCTCAGTTTTTACTAAGCCATCTGCCTGTGTAATTTTTACAGTTAATGCATATTTCACAGATATTGCTGCCCTTTTAGACTACAGGTAGACCTGCCAGTTCTGCAGCATTGTTTTGGACAGCTCTACCCATGTCAATTTTCTCTTCCATAGAAGATAACAAACTTGAATTAAATGCCAAGCTATTTTATAAATACGTTTGTTTATACTTCATTGATTAACATCTTTCCTTCCCCATTTTTTTCTTATTTTTCCTTCACTAGTCTTTTCTGTCTCTGATAAACCTGCTCACTTATCCTGCAGTTTTCGAACTCCTGAATAAACAACATATACCAAATAAACCCATGTATTCACTCCGTGAAATTCCTACAGATATAATTGTAAGTATGCTTTTTCTTTTGAAATAAAAGATAATATTTCTATAAAGACACTTTTCTCAAGAGAATAATTAATCATAAAATAAATTATTTCTTCTTATGACTGAAAGTTGTTGAAGTTTTCTGCATTTTGTAATATATACAGCATGAGGGCAGTATGTGCACATATCACTTTATGGTAACCTAAATTTTCATTTAAAATTTATTGTCCAATTTAAAGAGCCAATTTCTTGTAATAGAAATGTGCTTTTCAGCGAAATGTGCCTTATGTGCATGTGCCTACAGTTGCATGCCTACACATGTGTTTTATATTGTATTAATTTAACACATGTGTTTTATATTGTATTAGTTTATCACAGTATCTAGATTCAAACAGAACATTAGAAATTCACCCCTTCTAAATAGTGCATTCACACAAATATTAAATCAATAGTTGGAAATTTATTGATGAACTTGTATTTCARTCTTGTACTATGATAGTAATACTAGTTTACATTTCAGTATTATTCTGTATTATTTACATATCCTCTGTGACTGTACATCTTGTATGTTGAAATATCCAGTATTTTGTAGTAGTTAATATCCTTTAACCAACTACAATACTTTTTTTTTTTTCCCTACCTACAAATGACAAGCAATTGAGTTGCAATTAAAATTAAATCTTTGCTAATGAGTCCACACTTTTAATTGATGTTGCATGAAAGTGTTCAGTGCAAACTCTGGATTGATAGTGCTTTAGGTCGTTTAGGCAGTCTGTATTGTAGTAGTGTTTATTGTGTTTGGAAGCTTTTTTGTTGTTGTTCTGTAGGACTCTTTGGGTGATTTCAGGAGGAAAAGCAGTGTTAGGTTTAATTCATCCAATCTTCTCAGTGTTGATATAGCCACTGTGGACATATGGACAATATGGACATATAAGCATATGTCCAACTATGGATGTTTTCTTCAGTAATAATGTTTTGTAAGCTGCTGGGAACAGGAGAGATATATGCCAAAGATGGTATATATTTGAGAGCTATTAGATTGGAGAAGGTTGGACAACAATTTTGTGGCTTTTGGAGGACTGTCACTTAGATTTGTGAGGAACTTCAACAGTTTGGGTTTTTTTATGTCTCCRAGAATAGCAATACTGGTGTTACTGTTGAAAGTTACCTGAACTTGAAAAAAGTTGAATGTAGGTRTTTTGGATGGGGCTTGGTTCACCTAACTATTGTTTAAATGACGTTTGTGTAAGTCTAAGATAAACACCCAGAATGAAGTAGCTAACAAAGAAAATGGGTCGTTTAAGGGTTCATTCATCTAGCCATGGTTTAAATCTAATGGATGAGACTAAGTACTTAGAAAACTGTGGAGACTGGGTGGACATAGTTACTGCATGGTTATTGCAACTGTGCTTCTGGTCACTGACTGCAAATAATTGAAGTTATAACCAGATATAACTTTGACCATAAAGCAAAGTAAAAGCAATTCAAGTGTCACTACAAGATTTGGAATAAAGTCTTCTATCAGATGTTATCTGAGTATGTAGGGATAGATGTAGGAAAGCCAGAGCCATTTTGAAGTTTAAGCCAGCAAGGCTTGTTGAGGACAGCAAGAAGGGCTTTATTGTGAGTTTTAATTTTGTTGATTTGTTTTGTTTATCGCTGAATGGAAGAAAGATTTTCTTTGCAGTGCTTTCCCCCAGCCTTCCTGTACTGGGCTCCCCAGTATAAGTGGGATGTAGAGCTTCTAGAGAGGGTCCAATGGAAGGCACTAAGGGACTGGAGCACCTGTCTTATGAGGAAAGACTCAGTGAATTCGGCCTGTTTAGCCTGGAGTAGAGAAGGTTGAGAGGCGATCTGATTAATATGTATAAATACCTGAAGGGTCAATGTAGGGAGGGTGAGACCAAACTCTTCTCAGCCAGTGATAGGACAAGGGGCAGTGACTATAAGTTGAAATAGAAGAAGTTCCATCTGCATGTGAGGAAGAACTTCTTTTCTGTGAGGATGACAGAGCCCTGGAACAGGCTGCCCAGGGAAGGTGTGGAGTCTCCTCTAGAGGTCTTCAAAATCCGCCTGGATGCCGCCCTGTGCCCCGTGCTCTGGGTGTCCCTACTAGAGCAGGATGGTTGGACTAGGTGGTCTCTAGAGGTCCCTTTCAACCTTTACCATTCTGTGATTCCCCAGCCTTCTCCAGAAATCTAATAGGTAAAATGTAGTTTTACTTTATTTTAAATAAGATTACTTTTTAAGAGGACAGTTTGCTTTGGCAACCTTTTTCTTTTTTTCCCCCTACTGTKGTGGTATCTGCTTCATTGTCTTTATGGAAATAGAAATTTTAATTCATTTCATGAAAGTATGGATCCTAATTTGTTTTTCTAATACAATACTGAAATGACTCATTGATCCAAACAGCTGAATAATAATTCCCTCTGCTGTCTCTGGCCATGCTTATTAAATCAAAATAAAACAAAAGTTTGGATTTGATCCAGATGTTATAAAGCCTGTAAAGACTCTTCTGTTTGTTTCTTCTGACCATAACATAGCAATCAATTTCTAAGAAGATAACATCAATGGATATTTTTGTTCAATTTTCCTATTTTTTTTAATGAAGTTGTTACTTCAGAAACAATTTGGATATGCAGTAATGCTAGGGGAATTTATGGAAGAAATGCAAAGCAGCCTTAGATCATTGTCTATTAGGTTAAGCTCTGTATCCTGAAGGAGATGAGACTCAACATCCAAGCCAAACCTGGCTACCCACAGAACTCATGACTGTGCATCAAAGCACTTAGTACCATCTGGAGTTAGGGAAGGATTTATAGAAAGGTTTTGCCTTTTCCGCCTGATATGGCTTATCCTTCTTAGTGCCTCCTTCAAGGCATGCATGATTTTTTAAAATTTATTTTCTTTTGACAGGATATCATTGACAGGCTTATAATTTTGAATTCAGAAGCAAAAATTCACTCCCTGTTCAATTATGAGCAATCACATATATTTGGTCTGAGGTAAGATGCTCTTTTTTTTTTTTTTTTTTTTTTTAATCTTTTGGTCACAATAAACAAAGAGCATACAGCATGTTTGTGTGCATTGCTTCCAATAAGTTAATGTTGTTTGGGTTTTGATATGCATGAAAGTGAAATTCACTTTTTCATATTCAATCAATAGAAAAATTGAATGAAAAAATACATCCTACAAAATGAGTAGGGATTGCTATGAGAATAGCAATGAATCTAATCTTGTTACAGTAAATGGATATATTGTAATATGACAAACAGTAATAGAAATTGCTTATTGTTATTTTGTCTAGTTGATTGAAAAAGAAATGTAGTACATCCATCATAATGTATAAAACAAAAATCATACCAAAGTACTAAAACATTTGTTTTTATTGTATCATGCTTCTATCTGGCTTTGTTTTGTCTCTTTGCATTTTTTTTAATGTATCAGTTAAGTTATCACTGTTTTCACCAATACTTATTTTGAGAAGTAGAACTGGATCCAAAATACTTCTAGAATCTGGAGGAACACTTCAAATGTGCTTACTCTGTCATGCTCATTTAAATGTGTTATAATATCTTAACATAGAAATCATAGTTTCTCTGTTTATTAATTTATTAATTCACACTTTCATTAATAGTTTATGCAGTATATACAGTACAGATGAAACAAAATGTCTGTTGGATTGCAATTCATAGTATAGAAAATACTTCTTGGGCAGGATAAAGGTCAGTGGATTATATACTTCCAAGTTAGCTCTCTGTAGCCATATTTATGCAGTAGTATGAGAATAAAATGATTGTATAATAYGGAATCAATAACCATAATTTATAGTGCAACTTGTTGATAAGGATGAGCATGAAGGAGATGAGCCGTGACAAGGTTTGGAGTTGGGAGATGTATGGTTTAGTCCCGTAACTCAGGAATTACATACACTGTTTTGGAAGAATTCACTACCTGAATGAGAGTGAGAAGTCCTAAAACAGAATTAGAAAGCAAAGATGTTATTAGGTGTTCAGGATTATCCTGACTTCATAGGAGACTTGGCAGAACTCCCACTCATTTAATGAGGCATAACGGTAAGTGAGGTGTTCAGAAGTTTAAAATACCCATTTGCTTTTAGAATGCTTTCCACCTTCGTAAGGTGCTGCCTTAAAGAGGTAAAGGAAGAGAGTTCAGAGTAAAGGAAGAGATATTGGGAACCTTCTTGGTTACRGGTTTCTGAACGCAGAAGCAGTTAATACCCATAATGTAAGACACGGTGTTACACAAGTTGGTGAATCCTGTGTTTAAGTTGTGTTGAATGTCTAGAATATTTTTAATAAGGCCTATATCTGGTGAGGCAACTGAACTATGCCTAACTGCTTGTATGAGCGACATAACTAGTCCATCCATAATCACCTAAAAGAAATCATATAGTTAAGTAGATAAGTCAAAAAAAAAAAAAAGAAGTAGATAAAAAGTAGTAGATACCTTCATTATTATTAAGTCGTAATCAAATAAAGGAAAGATTATTAAAAGTTTAAATGTCACTTTCAATAGTGACTTTTTCTTCTGCAGAGATTTTGGCATCTCAGTAATTCCAAGACTTCATATTTCACGCTTACCAGATTCAGTCTCTACTGTAAAAGAACTCTCTTCCCCACTGCTTTTTTRATTGTCTTTTGTGTGAAAACAAGCAAAATGCAATTTAGGTATTATGAAATGTGCTTGTGCATATCACAAATAATCTAAGAATTTGTTTTCTTAGTAAGTAAATGGCTTTTCAAGAGTATGCGGGGCTTGCTACACAACCTTTTTTTTAATAACAGGGAGTAAGCACATACCAGCCTTTGACTGTGACTAATTCAACTGCCAGCACAAAGAAAATCTGTACTATTATATAGCTATTCAGAGTTCCCTATTGAAATCATCTTGGAATTCTGGCTTATTGTTGCATGTGCCTTGCTGTTTACAGTACTAATGCTTGCAGGAAAGTCTTACCTATATTACTTTAATTTGAAAGGTCTGGAGTTTGTAAAAAAAAAAAAAAAAAAAAAAAAAAAAACACTAAAAGAAACTAAGTTCCTGAAACTTTTCTTTTTCAGATCTGTTTTATCTTCCAGGTTATAGTCTTAAGTTTTTTAACTCTTGCTAAGTTCCAAGTAGCTACAAATCAGCATATTTGAATGTTAAGCATGTTTAGCAATTTCTGCAATTTACAGTTACATTTTTCTCCGTGTGTATACTATGCCCAAGTGATTTAAAATATTTAAAATTTAACATTTATAGATTAGTTTATAGTCTGTTTAATCAAAAACAGGCATGTCAATATGTGCTTGTGATGATACATTGTTTTCTGGCAGTTGTTTGTTTTAATTTTGAATAAATATGAATTCTGAATTTCCAACTGCTCCTGTGGAGCACGATCTTGCAAAGGCTCAGCTTTCAGCTTTCCTGTTGAAGCTTGCCTGCCCTGCTCGGGGTGTGCATCCAGTCAAAGAGGTGTTCTGGGAGAAGCTAGATAGCAGTTTTCCACAGTCTGTGTCTTGCAGGCTGTCACAAATGCTCTTCAGAGTATGTTTGTATAGACTAGGCCCTTTGATCAAAGTGTAATACTCAAGTTTCATGGTAGGTTTTTTCCTAGTAGGAGTCTATTTTTGTAATTCTTAACTTGAAAGTAAGTATCCCCATGTAAGATGCTTCTCTAGCTCTTCTGTCTAGTTTAACAGACATGGATGGTTTTCAATTCCTGATTCTTTTCTAGGTCATTGTGTTTGGATCCATAAGGTGTTTGGATCCAAAAAGGGACTGTAGATAGACTTGGAGCCCTTTGAATCTTGAAGGATCAAGACAGTGTAATTTTMTGAGAGCGCTTCTAGGTTTATGTTTTCTAGCTGAGGGTTAAACTCTAATCTCATTTGTATAGTACAGATTTTTCTAATCTGATATTCCTTAGATTTCAGCTATCCTGATATTCTTCTAGAACAAGATTTATTCACTTGAAGCCCCTTTTCAGTTCATGGTTTTTACTCAAAATGTGAAGAAGCCAAGAGTGAAAGTACGTAGGCAGTTCTTAATTTGAGTATAGAAAGAATTTCAAACTGTCTTCTTCAAAGCAGATTTGGGCTTGTTCAGCAAGTCTCTCAATCACGTAAGGTTGGTCAATAAAAGAATGCCGAAGGCTCTTTCAGCCACTCTTTTGTGCAGCCTGAACGTGTGGGTACAGAGCAACTCATGCAAAATTCTCTGTAGTCACGGTACTTCAGAAGATTCTGAATGTAGACTGTCATCAGAGCACAAATTTCAGAAAAAAAAAGGAATTTACAGCAATAATCAGACTAATGCATTTTTAACATACTGCACATGCAGAGAATTTTCTTAGTTTAATAATCAACTTTTATTTCTTTGACATGAGTATACCCAGTGATAGTGTCTTGCAAGCTATTGGACATGAGAGCAATTTCCTGAAAAGTGTGACACTAGAAATGTTGGCCACCTTCCTTTTAAAGCTGAGCTCCTCTTTGGGTTGCTGTGAGTTATGTTAAGAAAGGAATTAAGTAAACGCTAGTAACATTTTTTCTTTCAGAATGATGAATTGTATGGTATCAAGGCAACTTAGCTAATGTTTCAGCACAGTGAATACATCCAYGAGTTATGAGCTTTTACAGCCTGTCCAGAAAATATATGCATAACATATATTTTGAAACCCTCCTCCTACAGCAAAAGCATTTAAGTAGTGAATTTTCTCTGAATTTTAGAGTGAAGCTTTGTTATTTACTTGATGAAAAGGTGACAAAGTTTCAATYTTTCACCTTGGATAAACAACATACTGCCCCTAAAAAGTATCAGTATTCCAAGTTTAGGCCAAAGGAGGTCTGAAGATACCCAGTAGATGATCGCTTGCATAAAAGCAAATGGAGAAATATTGCCTCTGCCTCTGGGAGAGGCAGAGATGATGAGCAGTGGAAGGGGATCAGAGTTGGCCTCTGGGGAGCTTTGCAAAAACTTTCTCCTTGTTTGACAGAGTACATAAATAACATATACAATTACTGAAATATGGTTTGTTTTCTTTTTGCAGATAACTGTGGAAAATATATGCAGTAGGTTTCTGAATCATTCAAAAAGACAAAAAAAACCCTTTCTTTGTTTAGAGATCTTACATACATACAGCGTTCTCTAGTTTTGTTCAGTAGCTCATTATAAGTGAATATAATCTTAAATATTATTAAATCCAAAGATCTTTGGTATGTACATTCAAAATCAGAAGAATGTTTRTTGGCCCCACACTTGTTCTTGGGAATGCCTCATTTTAATGGGCTCCAAGAGGCAGTGATGCTGCTGTGATCAAGAGTTTGGCTATCCACAGAAACAAGGCTAAACCAATTCTCAAAATATCTTTATTTTACATATACTGGCATAGCCAGTACTGTCCAGTATGTTTGATGGTTCTTTTCACCATCCATTTTTGAGTGACAGGGACAGTATCTCTACTTTTGCAACAAAAATTGGATGCTGTTGGTTAAATGTACTCAAGAAACCTTTCTCATGGTAATGACATGGCCTCCACTTGTGTAGTAGTGGCAACGTGTGGTCGCCCTAAGTTAGTATCTTCCCTAAGTTAGTATCTTCCTGTTCTCTCTGCTCATTTTTAGTGACCTTTGTTTTATCAGTGTCTCTGCATTTCTCCTTAGAGATCTGTTCCTGCTTCTGCCTCTTAT